GGGGGGGGGGGAGGGAGAGGAGAAAAGAGCGAGGTTTTTCATGAGGATTCAGCACACGCTCAGTGAACAAGGTCTTGCGACAAAACATGAGAGGAAGCGAGCGACCTTTCCCACCAATCTCCGCAACTCTGAATATGAGTATCTAGTGGTAGTCTTGTACGATGTCATCTGCCGCTTCACCGACACTACCACCGGCCTCATTCATGTTTTCTAGGGTCACGAGTCGTTTCATGCTCTCCTCATTGACGGGCTGTGTATGCCTAGGATAATATGCTATGAGGGATCCTGGACCTGCCACACTGCTGCGGCACTTCGCCAGAACATTCGCAGCCTGCTGCGAGCAAACGAATGGCGGCGCAAACTACTTCGAACGTCAGGCGACGTGCGTCTTGTCATCTCATCACAGGAACCACTACTCCGCATCTAGCTACAATTGATTCGCATCTCTCGAACAACCTGTATCTCTTTGTTTACGTGTGCTCCTCTCTCCCATCCTTTGTCTCTTCACGCCGTTTTCCCATCCTCTCGTCGCCCTCGCTCACTCAACCTCACCGTCGAACCCTGCCGCACGATGAGCCCCATGTTTGTGGTTGTTTTTATGTAGCAATCCGCTGTTTCCGCCTTTTCCCTGCAGCTGCTTCCGCGCAGGGGCTTCCTTTCGCTTCTGTCCTCCTCTGTTGGCTTTCCCCATGTTTCCAGACCGTCTAGCTCAAGGATAGCTGAAACACGCTATGGCACACCAGGAGCAATTGATAACGGGATACAGCTGGCCGCCTGCACGCCTGGGCAGTGCGGCGCCGCACCCACAGACCCACGCACACGAATCACTCCGATTGAGGGGTCTACATCTTGATTCCTCGATACCACGGAGCCCCTTAGTTTCGCCGCGTGCCGCCGCTGATGCCCATCACATCACCCTGATCAATATTCATCGTGTAGGTGGTGGTTACGGCCTTGCTTGGCGGTTACTATCACCCATGTTTCGGTCCCTAGTACGAACGCGGCCATCGTGGCCGGGGGCCAGCACCAGACCCGCGATGCAACCTCCCAGAGTGTCGGCTGCTCATCAGCAGGGACCAAGGCAGGTCCAGCAGCCTGACGCTGTGCGGTCCCAGCCTTTCCACTCCACGGCTCCGGCGTCCATCGGATTCAAGAACTTCAAGAACTCGCCAAGGCCTAAGTGGAAGGTGTGCGCATTGAAGTAGCGTCTCTTGGAGGGCCAACGAGAGCTTGCCGATCAAAACATCACGCTTCTGTATATCCCTTGTCCCAAACATGACGCCTGATATCCCCCCCCCCCCCTTGGCGTCGACGCAGAAGAGATGATTGCCATTTGCGGAAATCGCAAGCCAGTCGGGTGCGAATAGCTGCCGCATGGCTTACAAAGCGCGTGCATCCAGCAATACCAATTACCGGAGCAGACCAAGCCAAACGTCTTTTCTTTGACGAGACCATGGGGCAATGGGTTTGCCCTTGGGTGCATCAGTGTTTTGGTGAACAGAGGAAGTCATTTCCATTCGCCCTTTGACCGACAACTGCTGCTGCTGTATCTGGTGGTTTCGATGTCAGCGGGAGCACTATTTTCGATGAAGGCGTTTGGCCGCATTGGATCAGCAAACGTGTACCTGTTGCCAAAGTCGACAGCAACCAAAGGCATCAGCTCCGATTGGCCAATTGCAGACGTGTGAATGGAACTGTGTGTTGTAAGCATACGGCGCCACTGGCACCGAGTGAAATACGTTGTGACCGCGAGGAACCCTACCATATCTGTTAAAAACACGAGCCGGGCGTTGCTCCTACGAACTGTGCGTTGTAGGGCCGCTTCCCCTAGCTGCTCTTTCTTTTCTTGTATGCATCTGAAATATTGACGTATTGACTATTTGCTTCGCCCGCTGCCGGCCCTGTCATCCCCCTCCGCGATCGCGAAAGACGCAACAAAAACTGGACGCCAAGAACGCAGACATTCTTGCGAAAGCGGGAGGCCAGCCGCGCGTGACCTACGCCGAGGCCCTGAAATCGCACAAGCCGAGGGCGTGGATCGGTGCAAGGAAGAAGGTCGTGTGGGGTCGGTTGTTCGGGCCAAGCAACACCGGTGGTGGCAACAAACAAGGCCAATAGTCCAGCACGCTCGGGCGCATCGCGGCGGAAGGGTCGACGGGGGCGAGTGAACGGGGGCAGGGGGGCAGAGGCGGCGCCTTTCCATTTCAGGCGGGTGAGGGAGGTGGTGTGAAGATCGGTGGTGCGCAAACCTAAGCTTCCAACAGGAAACCAGGAGCGTTTGAGCTGTTGTCCTCAAGGGCGGGGGCTCGGGGGTGCATCGAGAGCGACGGCAGGAAGGGGGGAGCGGGGCGGAGACGCGGCCGATCAGACAGTGGTCGATTTTCCCTCCTTGGACAAGAAAGCGCTGACTCCGTGTCTCCTTCAGACCGAAGCGCAACAGCTCCCAATTTTTGCTTCAGCCAATCCCCTACCCTAGAGAGGGTGGAAATCCACAGGAGTTGGATGAGGATTGGCAGAATGGTTGGTGCAGGGGAGGCGGGAGAGGCAGGGGACAGCACCGAGCCGTACACTAGGGTAAACGTATCCTTGACGTTTGTGATTTTTTCATGTCACGGAGTCGTTGGATCTGCTCTGTTTCCTCCGACATCACCGGTATTGATGATGGTGGTGATTGTGTCGGTGCCCCGCTTCTTAGCGTGGGGATTTAGTTCGTGATCGGATAGGCAAGTTGCTCGAGCTGGCAAATTTCCCCCCAAGATGCTAGGGTGGAGATGAAATCAGGGCGCACGATAGCTGCACCACACGTTGCAAGAAGCTTGGTAAGCTCAGCTTGGTAAAGCTCCTTGAAGGCAACATTTGTGTTTTCCTTGCTTTGTATTTGAGGCCAACAACCTCTAGGCGTCACGACGTCCATGTATGTATCTGCCTAGTTTCCGTCCACTCAAAAAGAGCGATTGAACATATCCAGTATAGCACTGGTCTAAGGCCCTTTGTGAGCCTTATTACCCAACGTCCCGCTCCGCATGTGCGATCGAGCGTTTCTCCGCGTGACTGACAAGTACAAGCGCGGCGTTGTGGGTGAAACAACGGCAGCAACCACCCGACCTTTCGTGCAAAGCCCTTTTGCGGTGTCTTCCTTCCGTAGCGATCCCCGAGATGGAGAATATTGTCAATGTCATTGGAACCGCCCCACGAAGCCCCCTATTTTTAACGCAGCCATCGAAGTATCTCGCCTCGCCCAACCTACAGTCGCCGGGGTCATGTGGCTATCTGGGAACCCGGTGTCTGGCGGACATACCGCACACGGGTAAGAATAAAAACGTGCCAATCGAATTTTTCGCAAGGATTCATCCCTCCCGTGCGCAACCTTGAGGGTCTTGCCCGACAAACAAGACCATCTGGAACACTTCAAAAACCACACGCACACGCATACGAACAGAACTACAATTTTTTGTTCCCGGCTTCCTCCCGGCACTTTTCGTTTGCTCGCCGTTCCTGCAGTAAATGTTGCAGCACACAAGAAAAAAGTAACGCCACAAAAGAAAGAAACCCACCAACCTGGTGATGCACAACAACACCAACCACCACCCTCACGAGCAACCGGCTCCGTTACGTAGCTACAGCACCTACATTGTTTTTTTGGTTTTTTTTTGACACAGTCAAAACAGAGCTGCTGTCAAGCAGAGCAGTTCTGCCGGATAGGAGCTCCAATACGTGTTCATCCCTCTTACGGGGCGCTTGCCTTCCATAATTATATGGTATAGAACCTCACGAAATAAACACTCCACACGTCAACCTCAAGTCTTCAATTCCGCGCCCTCTTACATCCTAGAAAAAAAAGTACTTCCCAAATGTTCATCACGTATTTCTTGTTCCCTCTCGGCGGCACTCCCCCATCTAGTGGCATGGCGCCGTTTTTAGCTTAGGCTTGCGGCTTGTCGGCGAAGAGGGCTACCAACTTGCGGGCAGTCGGCTCGTTGACGGTCCTACAGCTGCCTTTCTTCCCGCCATCAGCAAGCTTGAGCTGCTGCGCGGTCAGACCAAAAAAAGTGAGGCAGGAAAAAAAAAAGAGCGCAGCACGATGGCGATGTTAACGTCCAACACGACGGAGCGAAGGCGGGGGTGGCCGCGACAGGGGTTTCTTTTGTTGCACCGGCACTTATATTGTCGCGTCTAGACACAAGAGGCGCTTGAGAATACAGCGTGCAAACCAACCGCAACCCAAATCAACCGTGTATTCTTGTGTTATGTGCTGTCTGCCTGAATCGGACGACCGGGCGCCATCTTTCGAAGAATGAAATGAAATGATACATGCCACGTGATACGTATACAACACACGTCCCGTGAAAGCCAAACATCGCTCCCCATCATCGTACTGTACGACAAAACATTGTGCAATCGATCGCGCACATGTAGGTGCACAACGATGCACACATATGCCATGGACATGATGAGACGCGGGTGACGTCAAGGAATACGGAGCAGCAACTTCAAGCGAGACCCAGTGACACGGAAAGGTAGTTTCGAAAGAGGAGCAGTCTTTTTCTGTCTCGGAGAAAACAGACAACAGCGGTCAGAAACAGGTATCGTAGCATGATTGCAGAAAGAAAAAAAACATGCCTGCACGAGGCTTTCCTGCTCTTCCGGGGAGTTGCACTTCCGCAGGGCCTGGATGAACCTCACAGGCGTGGGGAACTCGCGAGCGATCACCCTCGCCCCCTCCGCGCTAACGCCGTTCACCTACGGGAAGGGAGGGGGGGGAGCAGTTGTGAGGACAAGGGGGCGTGGGGACAAGAGGTGACCATCACCATCAAAGGACGACGTCTGTTTTTCAGGGAGACGTGCACATCCAGAATACATGGGGTCAGTCAACTTGCGAGGGGTTGGAAGTGGGTGGGGAGGCACCACTACATACCTGTTCCGTCTCTACTCAATCCCGTTCTATGGGAGTGCGCCGCGATCCGAAGTTACAAACTTATGATGAGAGGTGGAAATACAGCAACACACAAACACTACAGATACTACACATGAAGCAACACAAAGGCATCCACAACTAATAAACGCTGCTGCATGACGTATAGATATGTGCTTACCATGAGAAGGCACCTCGCGAACTCCATCATGACGGTGCGCGGTTCTAGTCTCTTGGGTTCCATGGCCGTGCTCCACTCCCCAAACGACACCTTGGGGCGGGAAGGGTTGGAGCAATACTCTTGGATGGTTTCGGCGCCCTGACTCGCCATCAGCTGCGACAAAACAAGGCACGACATGACGGCAAGCACACGGGAGGGGATACTGACGCTTGCGTTCCTTGGTCATCGTACAATCGACCATGGCGACGTCATCCCTTTTGAGAGCGGAGCGGCAGGGAGCACCGTTCCTGTTGCTAGACGACGCACACACCGCGCCAACATTCCGGGGGGGGGAGGGGGTGTACTCATTGTCGTGCATGCCGTAGTCGTTAGACCATTGACCTCGCATCCCTACAAAGCCGGGACGGAGCACGCCGGGTTCTCACCGGACCAGGCTTTCACATCACCAAGCGCGAAGCGCCGTGAGATATTCGGCGAGTCGCATGAAGGGTGCGCTGCATCCTGCTAAGGGTTTTCGGCATCTTGTTCTTACTTCCTTGCGTACGGATGACAGCTGCGTATGACTTAATTTACTTTGTGGTGCTTTCACTTCCAGAGACAGTTGTAAGCACTGCGTAACTGCGTCGAGGGTGCTTGACCATTTTAACACAACGTGGTGTGAT